CGTAACCAGGATCACATCCCCGGACCATCCTTCGCAGGACGGCAGCAAATTAAAGGCGTTCCCATCCTGCATTTCTACATCGAGGAATACAAGATCGGGCATTACCGAGGTGATTACCCGGATACCTTCCGCTACACCTTCCGCCTCCCCGGCGACCCTTATGGCCGGGAAAAACGCTTTGAGCAGGTACCTGATTATATTCCGCCCATCGGCTTCATCATCAATAATTACCGCTTTTATAAATGGCGTTTCCATAACTGGTGGTGTTTAGTATGATTTCAACAACAGCGCCCTGGCTGCCGGATATAGGATCCTGCTCATTGTAACATTGTACCCGTATATCCAAATTAAATAACTCGCGGTAAGACAGTACCCTCGTCCCGGCGAGGTGCATACCCAATGAACCGGACGACTGCATGCCGGAAAAACCGGGGCCATTATCCCTTATAAAAATATGCAGGTTATCTCCGCGTTTCTGAAACCGGATCCACAGCTGCCCGTTTGTTTTTCTTTTTGCGATGCCGTGTTTCAGTGCATTTTCCACATAGGGCTGCAACATCATGGCGGGCAATTGCACATTGCCAATTCCTTCCGCTATTTCAATACTGTAGTTCAGCTTCTCTTTGAGGCGCAGCTTTTCCAGCTTCAGGTAGTTGGTCAGGTAATCGGTTTCCTCCTGCAGGGTGATGAATATGCGCCGTGAATACTCCATGGTCATGCGTATCATCCGGGCAAAAGCACTGAGGTATTCCTGGGTTTGCTGCGGCGCTGCGGTATAATTCAGGTACTGGATAGAGTTGAGACAATTATAGATAAAGTGCGGGTTTATCTGCGCTTTTATCGCTTCCAGCTCCAGCTCGGCCAGGTGTTTTTTCTGCTGTATTTTTTCAAACTTTTGCTTCTCTGCTTTTCGTATCCGCCAGCGTAGTACAAAGTATAACAGAGTACCGGCAAGCAACAGCAACGCCATCTTGAAATAAATGGTTTGCCAGAAAGCAGGCCTTATCCGGATGGTCATAACCACCTGCTTACTCCGGGTACCCCTGGCATTGGTGGCATAGGCTTTAAAAGTATAAACCCCGGGCGGCAGCTCTGTAAAACGAA